TCCAATCAGTGACGAACATGCAAATAAGAATGTTAACCCGGGGTTTAAGAAAAACTAGGATTAATCTCAGGTAAAGTATAAGCAATGTGAAAGGTGAAGCAAAACCACCCAGGATTCCTAGGGTTTAGAATAACCCAAAATTACTAATTTCAAGTGTGAAAAACCCAAATCTGTTAAAGGTCCCAGTGCTGTTATAGGCCTACTCTATTCACACTCTTGTAACGCAGATCATTTAATTAAATTATGGGACCATAAGAATGTATAAATGCATTAATGTATGTTTTTATGATGCATTATTATTAGTGTATGTAGCTTTTAATTTATCTATAGATGTTGGGGGGGTAAAAATAGTGTCAGATTGTGTAGTAGGCTATATGGGAATGATGGAAAGATTGGAACTCGGAAGGCGTTAATAAAGTATAAAATAAATAAATAAACCTAGAGCCCGGTCTGGCAGACAGAATAATGTGTGCAGACAGACAGGAGAATGAAAGCATCGCTTGCCATTGATCGGAGGCGTGACTCCAGGCAGGTGGCAGCTGCTGCTGGATTATATCCGCCCTTGTGCAAATAGGATGATGGGGTGACGGGTTTGAGCCGAAGCTAACGGGCAAATACAAAGACGCTGGACGCACACACCTGCTTTTAGCCGCCTAATCTCAGCACACACATCCGAGGCAGGGCTGTATTCACAGATTACAGCCATACGTTTCCCACCACAGCCACCTATGTTTCCTCACAATTTACAAGCGCGAGTCCAAATGTTTCGATGAGACTGGAAATACACCGCGTGTCTTAAATGACAACAGCGCATGAGATTGAACTGCGACTACCACCAAACTTTCTCTCACATTCGTCCATAAAATCACGACTGATTACAAAGTGCGCACATTTGGCCATCCACCAGTAAGTGCACACAAGAAACAACAATGAGAGACACCCGTACACGCTTAATTAACATTAAAACGACATTTATTTCGTGCGTAATAACAGATCCTGTTACGGATAAGACGCACCCGGCTGGAGGATCTATTGTTAAATCTGGTTAAATCTTACGTGGCATGCCGTAATAAAAGCCGTCAACAGCCGAACAATCACCTCACACTGGAAGAGTATTTCCGTGTGATGATTCAATCTTACCTAAATGAGGATTTTTACACCACAACAAACGCAGCTATTTCTTCCGTAATGGCTTTTGGAGTCGCAGGCAGCCGCGTTTGTGGTGTGTGTCCGTTACCTGTGTATAGAAACAGCGAGCGCAGTTTGATTATCCGGTTTTCATGCTGTTAAACAGACTCGTCCATGCCTAAAGCCGAAGATGATTTGGTGAAGGAACTGTGGGAGGACACTTTGCCGCTTTATTTTCTCGTACTCCCTCACTTGGGTGCAGTTACAGCTCTGCTGTGATGCGCAGATACCGGCAGGTGTAACGGTGTTCTGGCATGCGGGCTGACTGACTACAGCTCTATCTAACGCGGAACGATAGTAGCCACCGGAGAGGGATCGATATCTCATGGATACAATGGACAACTTTATTTAACTTGTTTATGTTAGGATGCAGGCTAGTTACTTAAGTAAGCAGGGCGCCAATAACAACGAATGCGATTTCATTTGAGGTACGTTTCAGTAAATAGGAAAGGTGTATTCGGTAAAAAAATACGCTCACGAACAGAAATCGCGGTAACCATAGCAACAATATTGCGTTCGAACACTTTTGGTTAGGAACGCACAGAACGCATAACGTAAACATAAAACACTGTCAAGAATTATAGGCAGTGTTGGGGAAAGTTACTTTTAAAAGTAATGCATTACAATATTGCGTTACTTCCTAAAAAAGTAACAAAATACGTTACCTCGTTACTTTTTATTGAAAGTAATGCGTTACGTTACTTTTGCGCTACTTTTTAAATCTGGGCTGGGCTTGCTTGTCTGCTTTTAATATAAAAAGTTCTATTTTTGGCCCTTTCACACCAAAAGCCTGAAGGAAATGCAACTTCACGTCTGTACAGTAGAACACAGAAGAAGAAAGTTCAACACTCTTCAGCAATAAAAAAAGAAGACGACATATTAGTTTATCTTGTGTAATTTTTGATTATTAGTATGATTGAATTGGATCACTGAAGGTCAGCAGCAAATAAATGGGATTAAATACATAAAGGATATTTGTATTATTTAACATATTTAATTATTGCAGTTTTGAGTCATATTCTGAGTTGCTTTTAACTGTTTTTATTCATTTTGAGGAAAACTAAATGTGATTTTTTTTTATTGTGAGTGAGATGAATTAAAGCATGTTCACATTTATTCTAGAACTAAAGTAACATCTTACTCCCGATTTCTCGCAGCAAGGGGACAGGAGAGCTTTCAATCAATAAATGGGGAAAAAAAAGTAACTGGCGTTACTTATTTGAAAAAGTAACTCGGATATTTTCTTGTAAATTAAAAAGTAATGCGTTACGTTACTAGTTACTTGAAAAAAGTCATCTGATTACGTAACTCACGTTACCCCCAACACTGATTATAGGTATATCTAAAAAAAAAAATTGGGTGTTTTGTTTCAAAAGCCCATTAGGAAAGACGGTTAATGGTTAGCTTAAAATATAATTTTGTTTGCTAAAACCTCAACGTATAGCGCACTCAAATTTTCTTTTTAAAATCCATGATAAAGGACCGTGAATGTCATTGTACCTAATTACCACACTGAATAATGCGTAATTAGTATGAAATTGTTTTCTGGAGCCTCTTTAATTACAAGTTGGGCTTTTAGAAAATAGACTGCACTGTTAAGAGACTTTACTATATCGGTTTACTATGGTGTCCTTTCTCATTTCCTGTTAAATGCCTGGGTCTATTAAAAATGGATGAATTCAATACAATGGTCTGAAATGGGCCATTTCATGTTGACTTTGAGTTTTTCTGCAGCTGGTGGCACATCTCACATAAAATCATGAGATCCAGAACATCACCATGCCATCTGTATATCTCATCTGCCAGACAAATCCTAAATAAATAAGTCTAATCCATTCTTGTGGGATACGAAAAAATAATTTAAAAAACCCACCTGAAATGATCACACTGCCCAATGGAAAGAATTGCAATTTTTTTTTGTCTATTGCAAGTGCATCATGTACAGATGTAGTACTGAAAGAGAAAATCCTGCGGAACACAATCATATTTTCTCATGAAAATATCTATATTATTATCTCTTCAGTAGGTTCTTTCTCCCAATTTCAGTCCTTACTACTGAGCTAAAAGTGCTACCGTCAGACCCGGAGATCGGCTGAATGGATTCGAAAACGGTAAAACTCAACTGTTTAACTCTAAAATAATGGAATGTTCCTTTAAATGACTAGTTTTTATTTGAATTTTTAAAATGCCAACCAGGGGTGCAGATCTCATTTCAATATCATTTTTCTTCACCCCTGATGTCAGCCACTGCTTATGTATTTGATGACTAAGTGAAGTAAAGAGTGAACGGTAAATGTCACAAAAGCCTCCAGGGCTTTAAAACCCACCCTGATAAAGAGCAGTAAACACCCGGTGTTCCTAAAGCTCCAAAAAGTATTTTAGTTCACACTGTAAAATGAGAAGATACTGGAGACACCCTTGCGGGGGATTCCTCAGAATGCCACCCATGATGGCAGTCAAACTTGTATAAAGTAAAGTAACTTAAAAAACAATACTTGTTTTTTTCCCCCCAGCTTCTCTGGTAATATAATAAAAAATGATCAGAGGTCTCCAGTGACTGAGTTTGCAGAAATATATATATATATATATATATATATATATATATATATATATATATATATATATATATATATATATAGTTTTGTGCATTATTACATTGTTCTCATGAAAATTCCTTTATCACAATGCAAAAGAAAAAAAAATATATTGACTATTATTTCAATTAAAGTCATAATTATATATTTTCTTTATACAAAATGTATTATCTTATTTTTGTCCTTTTATTTTAGAGTGAAATATGACTATGAATATGACATTCCAGCTTTTGTGAGATTCACCTTTCCGCTGTCTAACCCATTAGAAAACCATTTATAAACTGGTGCGAGAAGCCAGAATGTCTGAAGAACCTATCAGAAGTACCTAAAATGTAACAAAAAAGCATTTCAGTCTCCAAACAACCATACAGTGAACCCATAAATGAAAGTGAAAATTGGTTCTTGATAAAAGTTGCTTGCTAAACCCAAAAACCATGAAATATCCAGTATATAGCGTGATCTAGCACAGATAACAGATGTCCTCTATTAAAGCTCTGTTCTCAGAGGTTTACTGTACTGTTTGTGTCCTCTGGCTGATCATCGAGCTGTTGACTCATATTCCTACTTTCTCTTAACTCTCACTGCTGATCATAAACACACTCACACAGAAAACACAAGAGAAAGTCTTTTGCCAGCTAAACAACACACAGCCAACAACAACATGGATAAATCTCAAACAAGGAACTCTGAAACCCAACACCAGGCAGCTGCAACTATTTCAAGCTCTTTAAGACCTGTCCTATTTCCACCAGAGAGCATTTATAGATCACTCATGATCCCTACTGAATACAGCATGACAGTGATGAAAAAAAAATAGATGTGAACTCATTCAGGGTGGAGCATAGGCCAGAAATACGTTTTTTAAAGAGGACTGTTCAAAATGTAACCGTAAATGTCTGATTTGAGTAATAAAATGAACCGTGAAAATGTGATACAGTAAATTTACTAGCAAATATGTTGCTGTAAAAGTCAATTATAGTTTTTATATTATTTTGAATATGGCTATGAGTGCAGTAAAATTATGCTGATTATGAATATGATTAAGAAAAGTATTTAAATAAGATCCCATCTGAAACTGAAATATGTTTACATTAAAACACACCAAGGGCATTCTGTTTTAGCACTTAATAAAGCATATTCAAATTCATGTACAGGATGTAAGACATCCTTTTAGGCAATTAACGTCGTCATAAATAAATCAATCATAATCCCTCCTACCTGATCGAGTTTTGATGATTTCTCCAAATTCATCCTCAAAACCTTCCTCCCATTGGCCCTGTTGGCTCCCTGCTTCTGCCATGACACAAGATCCAAACTGCCGTTGAATCCTTTAATCCTGTAGTTTTATAAACAGAAAAAGGAACGAGACACCACAACCCCACCAAAGACGGGAATCGCTGCCCTGTGAACAAACCGAACCTCAAATACAGAAGTGAATTTTTGTGAATGACACAGGGACGAGACTGTCTGTGGACTGTTATGATAGGGGGAAACGAGCTGTCAAGGCACCCAGAGAAGCAGAGACAGGTGGCAAACTTTACTCGCCTTAAAATAGAGAGCTGTTATGAAGGCCTGCTTCATTTCACTCTCACACACAAATACTGATTTTTCTAACGGCAAAGGATTGGTCACCATGCCATTTGACAACAAATGACAAATAAACGCTCTTAGAGGAAAACTCAAGTTCACAATTTTATCGAGCGTGACTTACAGTACACTTATTATAGCGACAGTCCCTCTGGAGCAATCTGGGGTTAAGTGTCTTGCCCAAAGGCTCAATGGTTAGAGCTTGTTGATTGCTCCCTGTAGGGTTTGACTCTTAGTATCTTTAGTTACCAGGCCAGACTCCACTCCACTTTCCAAGACCTTAAGTTTATAAAGACTGTACAGTCCAACAACAAAGTTAAAACTCTAATATAGTGAAACATTATTACTTTTTAAATTCGGTTTTCTTTTTGAATATATTTTAAACGACTCCATTCTTCAGTGTTACATGCTCCTTCAGAAAGCATTCTAATATGCTGATTTTATGCTCAATTATTAAAGGTGCCATAGAATGCATTGATACAATATTTTAAATTGTTCTCCGATATCTACATAGAAGGTATGTGGCTTAGGTAAGGTCCAAAAAATCTCCAGAAACGGTTTTACATGTCCATTTACAACCCTAGGATTTGTCCCTAGAATAATAATGTTGAGCTCTGCTCTGATTGGCTGTTTCACAGTGCGGCTCATTTCTGTAGCTAACACAGCAGGAAGGAAACACAGGGAAATATATATATTTCAATACTGTCTCTCGCAGTTATATCGTTGGGTAATACTGTATGTAAAATGTGGGCATCAGGGAGCCGCTATTGATATATGCGGGGCATTGAAACTGCATTCGAATGCACGATCGCTTTTTACTTTCACTTTCGAGATTTGCGATCGCACGTGCTCTGTGTAAACTACAGCGGCAGTACTTGACACACCTTTTACAAGATCAGATGCTTGTCAGTGTTGCTCAGGATCTGTAAATCATTCGCCATCATCCTCAGTCATCTCTCCTTACTCTGTTTATGTGGTAAGTGAAATCTTATGTACTGTAATGTAACAGGCTACCGCTAGCAAGCAGCTAACCATGTCCCTTTAGTGGCTTGCATTATTTTATTAGAACGAGTGTTTTGTTTTCCGTGCCTTTCTGAATACAGACTCCAACCCATTCCTGCACAGCCTGGAACATAACATTTATTTCCATGATCTGCCATTTTTTCATCGTGCCAAGGTAAATACAGTTTTCCATTCTATGGCACCTTTAAAGGGATAGTTCACCCAAAAATGAAAATTCTTGTCATCCTCACGTTGTTCCAAACATGTATGAATTTCTTTCTTCTGTTGAGCACAAAATAAGATGTTTTGAAAAATGTGGACAACCAAACAGTTGCTGGTAGCCAATGACAATGTCTACCAGTAACTGCTTGGTTATCAACATTCTTCTAAATGCCTTCCTTTGTGTTCAGCAGAAGAAATAAATTCACACATAGCAAGCAGCTAACCATGTCCCTTTAGTGGCTTGCATTATTTTATTAGAACGAGTGTTTTGTTTTCCGTGCCTTTCTGAATACAGACTCCAACCCATTCCTGCACAGCCTGGAACATAACATTTATTTCCATGATCTGCCATTTTTTCATCGTTTCTTCACAATACCTGCAGAACTTCTGATGATTCGGCTGGCGGCTGGAATACAACATGGGCGGGTATATGCAAATGTTGGGGGCGTAACTATTAGTGATCCCGACTGTAACGTCACAGTCGGTGTTATGTTCTGATTCGCCTATTTTTCAGTGGTCTTTTGCATGCACGAGATTTACATAAGAAGGAGGAAAACAATGGTATTTGAGGCTCACGGTATGCCATTTCCATGTACAGAACTGTTATTATTCATCTATGCCAAGGTAAATACAGTTTTCCATTCTATGGCACCTTTAAAGGGATAGTTCACCCAAAAATGAAAATTCTTGTCATCCTCACGTTGTTCCAAACATGTATGAATTTCTTTCTTCTGTTGAGCACAAAATAAGATGTTTTGAAAAATGTGGACAGCCAAACAGTTGCTGGTAGCCACTTTTCCCCATACTATGGAAGACAATGTCTACCAGTAACTGCTTGGTTATCAACATTCTTCTAAATGCCTTCCTTTGTGTTCAGCAGAAGAAATAAATTCACACAAGTTTGGAACAACTTGAGTTGAAATACCTGTATACACTACACTACACTTTACACACACACTGGTTTCCATGTTTATGGGACATAGGCGTAATGGTTTTTATACTGTACAAACTGTATTTTCTATCCCCTTACCCTTACCCTACCCTTCACACACACACACACAAAACACAGTTTACTATGTTTTTAAGCCATTTGGTTTAAGGGGACGCAGGAAGTGTCCTTATAAACCATGTTTACGTTGTAGTACCTATGTCATTATATGCATTTGTGTCCTCTTTCCAAACATGTATGAATTTCTTTCTTCTGTTGAGCACAAAATAAGATGTTTTGAAAAATGTGGACAACCAAACAGTTGCTGGTAGCCAATGACAATGTCTACCAGTAACTGCTTGGTTATCAACATTCTTCTAAATGCCTTCCTTTGTGTTCAGCAGAAGAAATAAATTCACACAAGTTTGGAACAACTTGAGTTGAAATACCTGTATACACTACACTACACTTTACACACACACTGGTTTCCATGTTTATGGGACATAGGCGTAATGGTTTTTATACTGTACAAACTGTATTTTCTATCCCCTTACCCTTACCCTAACCCTACCCTTCACACACACACACACACACACACACACACAAAACACAGTTTACTATGTTTTTAAGCCATTTGGTTTAAGGGGACACAGGAAGTGTCCTTATAAACCATGTTTACGTTGTAGTACCTATGTCATTATATGCATTTGTGTCCTCTAAATCATATATACAAGAACACACACACACTTGCAAAACAACAAGAATTTGTCAGTAAACATTCAGTTTACATTATTTTTCCTGCTCGTGTGGCTTAGGTAATGGATTTGTTTTTTCACATGCTGAGCAATTTATTATATTTTCACAAACATTAAGACAACCTTTTTCCTTTGAAATAACATTCACTGACCAATTACGCATAATAAGGCCAGAAACCTGCATCAAGCTATAATGCTGCATAAAAACACTTTGGGAGGTATTTTTCAATATACAAAGTGTAGACTCATCAATATGTGCATCCATATGGGATCTGTCTCACCTAAAAAAATCACTCTGGGTTTCATCTAGTGAGATGCCAAGAGCATTTCAGAAATGTAAGTAAAATTCAATTCAGCTTGATTATTGTAATGGCATGGGGAGTGTAAACAAGTAAATAGAATTCGCTGGCATGATATCAGTAAAATATTTGATCAAGGGGAAATAAAGCTTTATACCAGTGTACTTTGTGACTCAGTTAATGGAATTTCCAAAAAAGCTTGTCTGGCTCGTATGTCTTTGGGATTGTTTGTCTTCTGAAGGTCTTTTCAGAGAAAGAATAAATGAAATAAACAAAAACAATCTGCTGCCTGCTTATGAAAGAGGCTAAAAAGCACCAAACACAGATTCATTAACATAAGAGCAATATATCTCTAAGACGGTAAACATGTTTTGACATCCACAGGATAGGTTTTAAGTAGCCTGATCAAACTGATAAAAATTGGATTAATATACTGGATACCTGCAACAGCACATCTTTCAATAAACCCAGTCTGCGGGCATTGCATCAAAATAAAATCACAATATCAATATTTGAGCCTAAAAACTGACAAACAAGTAGAGTGCATGCATATAAAAGCCTAATACTAAAAACATTCTTAAAGATCTCTGCTTTTGAAATTCATTGGTGTGTTTGCAAACAGTCTAAAAGCACATTCATAATCAAAACAACAACAACAACAACAAAAAAAGAATATTGGATGCATTTGGGGGTGAATCAAAGTTTAGCAGTCTTTCTATAAGACCCTCTATAATGTTCAATGAAGAAATATGCAACAATGCAAAAGCAAAAATGTTTGCTGGTAGCATTTCATCTAAATACAAGCCCTTAAATACAGTCTACCATGCCCTGTTAGGTCAAGTGCATTTATTAAAATCTCTGTAATTGCAGAGGACATTCTTTTATGATGTAAATCACAGAATGATGTCAGCTGTGACGTAGTAATAAGCACCATCCATGTCAGCCACAGCCAACTAGATTCCTCTTCATTCTCCATTTCCTGGACTGTGTCCAGATAGCATCATGATCAGAGAGCTGATAGTTTCAGTGCTATAAAATCACACTAATGCTGTGGGACAAATGACATGGACACAGTAATTAAAGATCACCGAAGCAGGGCTGCTGATTGCAATTTGAGTTTTGTTGCAACTCGCTCACCGCTTTAGAGCCTCAACATGCTATGCAAATGGCCATCTATTTCTTTGCTTCATAGATTATTTTCTGTTCTCTATGATTTTAATGCTCTCTACTCTAGGTTAACTTTGGTTGCATCTTATAGTGAAGACAAATATAGACGGGGTATTATATAAAGTTACCTTCACAAGGAGTCAGGAATCCATCATTCTTGTACCCAAGCAAATAATATGGAACAACTGCCAGTCAAAGTCTGCATGTTGGTTTTCATTGTTGAAAAGTCTTGCTTCATAAAGACGATTCTGCAAACATGGTCAGTAATAACATTGTGCACATACAATATACTCTTAAAGGAATAGCTCACCCTCAGACCACTCAAGATGTAGAGGAGTTTGTTTCTTCATCAGAACAGATTTGGATAAATCTAGCATTAAATCACTTGCTCACCAAT